TTAAATAATTCATTTTCAGCTCCCAAAATCAGGTGAAGTGGCAAACTAGCCCAATTTCTTACCATGCTCCATTTAGTGCATGACAAAGTTTCAATAGTTATACTAGCCCACAAGTGTGCCACGGACAAAGCACTTTTAAAAAAAAAAAACAAACTTGCAATATTCCCATAGAAGCTTCATATTGAATGCAAACGGGTTACAGAGTAAATGAAAACCTTAGGAGAGTCAAACTCGTTTTATTTACTATACAATGCTTGTAAAGAGGCAAGCTAATTTATGGGATCAGGGAGCTGACATTACCAATGAGATGCTAGATAAAGTCGGATTGATAAACTAGGTAAACAGCTGACCTCTGGGTATTCCTTATCTGGTGTAAATAGACAAACTTTCAAACACATGAGGTTTCTTCCGATCTGAGGAAACAGATCAGACAGACAACGTAACATCATTATGCTTTCGAACAGCTAGCAAACCACACACAGAATGCAACCAGCAGTAGTCCTAATACAGATTAGATAAAGTCAATTTGCAAGAGAGGATAATTTCACAGCAAGCCAAGCATTAGAGACTTGTTAGAAGGCATATATATTCTTGATTAACTTATATTCCCTTATATAGAAATTTGACTTTAAAAGAAAGCCCAAATCATAATGAGCTACACCTACTTCTGTGATTATTGAATGCTTTCTTTTGTGAAGAGAGCATATTCCCTGAGTAATATAAATTTATGCCACCATTCTGGCATCATTAAACTGGGACCTGGATTCTTCTGCACTGCTTGAAAGGAATCAGCAGTAGTCTTCTTTGCCTTCTCTTATCTGTTCATATGATTTGACATGCCCTTGTATTAGCTGGAACAGTAAACAAAACACTGTATGTGAGTAATAACACTACATCAGAAACCCTTCAGTTTTGACTTAGTTCTGACTTCTCTGCTCTCTCTTTGGTTCAGTTAATACTATTTGAAGACCTTAAAATTTAAATATTTTCACTGGAAAAGTAATTGTTGAGTTGCATCAATGGAAGCAATTGCTTCTGTTTCAAAACTTAGTTTTATATAATTGTGTTTAGTACAATCTATGCAATGGATTGCATATCTATATCAGAGACAAGTTAACCTATTTTGAGTTTACCCATGAAATATTTTGACTTGCCAGAAATTATCATTTAACTTCATTTTGTGCTGCTGAAGTTTAAAGCAACAGACTTTGGGTAAAAAGCAGTCAGAACAGGAAAAATATGGGGTCTGTACGGACTATGTGCCAACGATCACAGATGCTCTCTGCACAGCTATACACCTTACTCTTCATTCACTTGACAACGACTTTCCTCGTTTCTTCTTCTTAAACCTCGTGGTCCCTCCACCAAACTTACTTCTCTGTAACACAACCCAACACCAAGCTTTCTCCCAGCTCGTACGCTGTTTAGCATACCTCCTCAACACCACGTACTCCACCCTGTTGGGCTCTTTTGCAAGGGGCTACAGAGAGGGGACAAGAGCTGTGAACTGCTGCCTCATGGAGCAGCAGATTGCTGTTTATCAGCTACATAATGATCATGAAGAAGCAGCAGCTATCATGCATGCTCAGTTTATTTCTGACTATTGCTGCCCGGAATGCACTCCCACACATCCTCACCATAGCAGAATAATAGAAGAAAAATATAATCAGAAGAAAATTCTGGCAGTCACTGAGGATACATTTGAACTGACAAGAAGCCACATTTGTGGTTTAGTGTGCCTTTTTTAAGCTCACTAAGGGATCTGTAGCTCCCCACTGGTACTGTCACATTCAAGGTCAAGTAACCCACATTTAATTTTACTCTTATGCTGACACTATAGGGCTAGTAACGTTGTACTTGAGATCCTTCAGAAACAAGACATCTTAGAGCTCTCGAACACATACCCTATTTCAAATCTCCAGATTATCTAATAGTATATACTTCTTTTACCAAAACGTTGCTATATGTCACTATTCATAGTTTTATGGAAGTTTTCTATGTTGCTTTTTTTTATCTCAGTTACTTATCTTTGACCTGATCTTTGATAGACCAAAAAAGGTGGTTAATTGTGCATCCTCTGCTACAGTATTTTTTTTCAGACTGATTAATTTATTAAAATAAACAGTACTTCCGAGAAGAAACTTTCATGTTTCCTAGTTTGAACAGAAATGAATAGCTAGTTTAGACTCATTTTTGAGAAATATTTACCTCAAAGTTTCTGCATCTGTTCCGAAGTAATTTACAATTGGCATGAGATATGTAGTGAGAGGCATTTTTGCTCTTCAGTATGTGGGCAAAAAAACCCCAGGAACATGGTTTTGTTCAGGGAGAATCAGTCTGCTCAGCAGAGGTTTCTAGTCCATGAAAATGCACTTTAATATACGGGTACTTAAGATCTCTTAATTAGAAAGATGACTCACAATCCAACCTGTAATTGCAAATTTCAGCTGCTGCTTTTAACATTTGAGAGACAAATGAAATTTTATTCTCTGTTGTTATTTTCTCATTTGAGTCCCACAGATGTACACTTCACAGCTCATGTAAAAGATTAAATTCAGTGAAAAGCTTCCACAATAAAGCCCCAAACCCCCTCAAAATCCACAGCTGGGTATCATCAACAGTAGCTGCTGGTCAAATCAGAAAAGAAAATACATTTGAACCTCTGAAGGAAATAAGAACGCTGTGGGTCCACAAGTACCCTGATCTTGACTGCTGCAAAACTTCAAGCCCATGAACCTCTGTCTCCTTCCTGCTGCCCTTTCTGTCGCCTCTGCTCTCCCCAAAGACAACACCCTGGTGCATGGGGTTCTGGGCTTGTGTGAGTTACTCATGTGAAGGGGTGATTTTGCTTGAAGCTAAGTAAATATTAATACACTATAACACTAAATAGCCAACCAAAGCCTGCTGTAACTCTTCCTGTCATCCACTTTCATTCAGAAATCCACTGGGGTACCACATCCGCCAGTAAAATCTAAATATGCTGTATGGACAGGGCTGTTCAATAGATCTAGTGAACCCCACCTCCGCCAGCAACCTAGGAAAACCTAACAGACGTGAGAGCAAACACTCTGCAACTGTGGAATTCAGTAAGATGATACTGAATCAACACCTTCACAAACACCTGTGAAATCTAATGGGGAAATGTCAGAAACCAGTAATTTGCTTTTTTGAAGTTGTAGCTATCTATGGCTACAAGTCTAGTGCCTTGTACCATAAACAGATTTACAAAACTTGTACAGTGATCATTCCAAGAAAGGCTTTGCAAAATTTCTTGTATTAATGAAGTCTGTTTAGCAACCTCATCTGTAATATGCATAACGAATGATAATGCCAGTCATCCATCAGCCCACATAACCGTTGGCGTTGTGCACAACACGCTTCGCATATCTGCTATATTAAATGCACCAAAACACAAACACTTCTCAATGAATTTCTGAACAAAGGCACACAGCTGAACTTTAAAACCAGCTCCCTTTTCCTCCTCTGCATATACACCACCCAGGGCTATTTTAACACATTTCTTTAATAAATTACATAGGCTGATGCTGTTCCCTGTGTACCCGCAGCGAACGCCACGGCAGCACAGCCTCCCAGCGCCAGGGCTGGAGAGCAGCCAGTGGAGCACTCTGCCCACTGCCCCACCAGCAAAGGGCTTCCCGCAGCCGCTGGCCCCTGGCACCCCCTGATTTCAGGGGCCAGCCTCGCAGCACCACCCGCAGCGAACGCCACGGCAGCACAGCCTCCCGGCGCCAGGGCTGGAGAGCAGCCAGTGGAGCACCCTGCCCACTGCCCCACCAGCAAAGGGCTTCCCGCAGCCGCTGGCCCCTGGCACCCCCTGATTTCAGGGGCCAGCCTCGCAGCACCACCCGCGCTCCCCTTCGGAGGCAGCTCCACGAGTCACTAAATATAATCATCTAAAGGCACTTTTTAAGATTCAGGCAGTACTTGTAATTCCTTAACCTCATGTCATTATAACTCTTAACTGGTTGCTATAACATGAAATTTCCTCTCTGTTCTTGTGTTTGCACTCTTCAGGCGGGTGTACGCTGTTATCAAGCCTTGTCACGTCTCGGCCAAAACGTGTCTTTAGGCTCTTTGAACCTTTGTCTTTAAAAGGAATCCCATTAGCTCTGCCATCAGTCTCACTGCTGTGATCTTTCAGTCTGTCAATATCTTTTTGATAACAAGCTTTAGTGATAAGGCATTTGAACCTGGATGCTGCACAAAACCTTTCGATACAGAAAAAAGCCTGCAGGATGCAGCAGGATTGCTTCCAAACAGCTAACATCGTTCATTAGAGGGGAAGGCTACTGTCATATTTATTTAAGCAATGGATTAATGAAAACAAGCAAGACACTTCAGGGATTAGGAAGTCTTTGTGTAAGAAAGAGTCAATATTTCAGAGCCACTTGGAAGTTCTTTTCCAAAAAAGGGACCTAGTCTAAGATTTCTTTTTCAAGTCAAACTGCATCACATAACAGCATATGTTAATATAACGTTGCTTATTCTTATACTTCGACCTTCATTAAAAGCATTGCTGGAATGTTCCTACATTTTTTATTTATTTAATATTTTGATAAGGCAAACATAACAAGCTGGCTACATAATGCAGCAATGTAATATCACCTGAAATCCCTCAAGCTTACTGGTACATACCAGTCATGTACGAAACACTATTTTTTTGTTAGTTACTACTTGTTTTGTTTTTTTTTTCTTGTTTGTGATTATGATTTCAGTTTTGCAACACAAACAACTTTTTCACATTGACTGATTTCTTCCACAGAGGTAATAAATCTTTAAGAAAAACAACAAAGACCAGGACTCTGGAGGCTGGAAAGCTAAAAGCAGGTTAGGGAATTCTGAGGTACAGCAACTTTTTTCCAGTCAGGTGTAAGAGTTAGTCTGGAAACCAGCAGCTCTGAATATCAGCATACATAACAGTTGCCTGAACTTGTGCTAATCAGGAAGCAGACAGTGGTGGGCCTGCCCGTATGGCCTGAATGGCGTGTCCCACTGCCTTTGAGCGACTGGTTTCTGTGATACATCAGCTTCTCACTCCCACAGCAAATGGTTCTGAATTGCTGTCGGTCTGTAGCTACCCGTTCACTTTATTTGGAAACAGTTTGTTTCTCCAACACACATCTTAAGCACAACTGTTTGGAAAAGACTTAACGTGACAGCAGAAATATACGTTACTTAGGTAGTAAGTATGGCATATATTTCTGACATGCATTTTGAAATTTGTCTCCTTCCCCCGCAGGCTGCCAAGAACCCCATCTCTCATTTGAGCAGTGAACAGAGGAGGTTCACTGAGAGGCCACCTAGGATGGGACACAAGGTGACCAGGGCTTTGAGAGGTGTCTGTTGTTCAAAGAAAGACACTCAAAGGCGTTAAGAGCATATATAAAGACTTATTTGAATATAAACTGCCACAGGGAACTTTCTAAAACAGACAAAATTCAGAATAAGAACAGAAATAACAGGTTTTGTAAATACATGTATTCCCTACTCATCACAGTCACGCAGGACAGATTATTTCAGCTGGGCATTGTCTTAGTCCAGCAAGTCAACCAATGCCTACTTTGCAATTGCTCATCTGGATTTCTTTGCCCTGCTGCCTCTTCAGAGCATGGGGCTGGGCACTGCTTGGTGAGTTCCCACACCCTCAGCCTCTGCTGCCATGCGCTCTGGAGCACTGTCTCCTCTACCTTGGGGCTCTCAGGACGGGAAAAATCCATTTCCCTGCATATGATCCACCTGACGTAGCACAGGCCAGCCAGGACCAGGGAAGCAACCTGCTTTCCTTGTGCCTTTGCAGGCAGCCACCCTTAACAAAATGCAGCCACCATACCCTGCACACAAACAAAGAAAACAGATGCCACCTGCCACACACATCGTAAATCTTCCTTGGATTGCTAGAACCCCTTAGTATAATTAAAAACCAATCAGGATCATTATTTAAAAATCAATGATTTCTAAATTGTTATTTAAATATCACATTAACTAATTTCCACTTAAGGTAGCCATAAAATTTTGGAATCTGTGAATACATTCAAATGTTTTTATTCCAACCATTTAACTTTCTGTTTTTTCAATTACATGAGAGACATTTAATCTGAAGAAATTATTTGTTAATTATTAGCAACTTTTCTCCATAAATAGGAACTGGTTATTTTTCATTCATCAGAATAATTTATTTTATTTAAAAGAGGATACAACTTAAATAACCTGCCAGAGAGGTAGCTCTACTTTATGTATGTAGTAAAATAGAAAGTACATGCACTACTTCAGGAAGTTCATGCAAGCCCTTTCACAATTCCTTGCTCTACCCTAAACATGAGCAATTAATGATGCATTGAAGAGTCCACTTGGTTAGTTAATACAGATATATTCACCTTTCCTTTGCAAAGGATGATGCATAAGCTGCAAAAATCATCCAGCATAAAGCACAGTATACCTCAAGTAATATTTGCCAGCTCATTGCTGGAAAAGAAGCTTTGGACTTCAGTCTCTTGAATACCTGAAGATGATGAAATTAAGAAAAGAATCTGAAAAAAACTGATGAATACTGTGGCTTTACTTCCAAATGGAATGGCTATTACTACTGACACAATCCCCACCTCCACCTCATTGTCTCATCCATTAACCCATATTCTTAAATCCAAGACACTCTCTCTCACTACCTTGTATTTCAAGCTGTGTCTGCCTTTTCCAGCAATACTTACTCCAGGTGAACCCATTGCTAAGCCAGAGAAAAACCCATTACTTTTTGGCTTTCTGAAAGCATATTAGTAAGCACATTGAGTTAAATGTATCCTATTAATTAAACTTTAACATTAAACATGTATCCCATTCATTAAACTTTACTTTTATCATCTTTCTTACAATTTTCTGAATGTTACACGGAATAATATCCTTTCAAGATAGCTAGTGTAGCAGGTATACAAAATGGTTCATTAAATATTCTTACTTTTTCCTGAACTATTTCTGCAACAAAAAAGCTAGTATTGTGGCTTTTACCTAAATGTATATGGACATATAATCCTGGGCAAAGCATACTCCCAGTAAGTATTCACACATGAGCTTTTGAAAAAAGGAAATCACTTTTTCAATAATTGTTACTGAACAATAGTATAGATATCAGATATATGATTTCTCAGAGTTGTGATTATGGTATTTCTCTTCTGTGATTATGGTATTTCTCTTCTGTATTAAAAATGGTCTGTAAGACTCTAACTTTTTAGATGAAATATTTTTAATAAACTCAAAACATATCCTTCTTACATGTCGCATCTGACTTAAACTTCTCCAGCTGTCTTTGGTGGAATTGACTGCATTTAAGACGGTGCCTTAAAGAATACATTGCACATAGCACTAAATCGGGAAAATCACTAGAATGAGGCCTGTGGTGTCATTTCAGGCTTACTAGCTAGTTCTGTTACGTCTCACTGGAAACACTGCTACAATAAACATACTTTACACACAAAACAAATTTTGAGGGGAGATGTTCTCCAATGTTTTATTTTGCACAGCTTTTGAGCGATCTTCATACACAAATTGAATTAAGGAAATAATTGCATTTTGCAGTTTTGAAACATGTTTAATTGCTATACTGAAAACAACTGCTATGAAATAAAGAGCGTAAATGATTTAAAGTGAAATTTGTCCTTCCTTGTCAAATATTAGAAGTTGGTTCTTAGGATTTACTCATTAAAAAGTTACGCATCATTTACAGTTTCTTGCTTTTTATGACTTAAGAGGCAGACCAGCATTGTGCTCATACTGTGAGCTTTTGCTGCCCATTAAAAAAACCTTTCACCCCACAAGTAAGTGGTTTCATGCTGTGCCCCAAAGGTTTTTACAGGCTAAAAAAAGTATGTTTTTCTGGAGGAAGATATGAAAAGAAGAAAAAGGAAACTGGATCTGCCTAAAAGGCAAATGGCACAGCTGCAACTTCTAGCCTTGTTGGTTACTTCATATGAGCGCCATCTGAACTCAATAATATTCAATAATAACTGCACGTGTCATGGGAGATTGCACAGAATCATTTGCATGTTGACACCAAAAAGTTCTTAACAAAAGAGCACATGTGTGTTCCTATTCAGGATTAGTCAAACTCTGTAGCTGTCCAGGAGTTTTTCACTGAGACATACTTCAGCTTTTATTAAAATATAAACTTTAAAATATTTGATCAAAAATAGTTCTTTTTTTTAAAGCTTGAGCTACCCTAATTATTCTCAAATGTACAAATTTTAATATGAATACAGACACTGAAATACCACATGTGTAATTTGGACTTATCAGCTAAACTGCTAAACAAAGAGAAGTGATAGTTTTTTGAAGCTGAAGAAATAATATCCATGTGGATAGGAGCCGCTAATAATGAAAGTACCTTAGTAAAAGTATATATAGTGTATGTTATTTGTTATGTGTTTAGCAAGTTCCTGGAGGTTGTGATCCTCCTGTTATGACCCTGTGCCCCTGTCAGGGCACTAATACTGATATGGAAGTGCAAGCAGACTTTACGTGCATGCCCAAACCCATGTGGACACTGCATGAAACACAACGTGTTCACTACAGAAAATTTTTTCATTGTGCTCTGAAAAAGGCATTTCTAATTAAAGTTCAAGCAGGTGTCTTTCTTTTGGCTTATTCAAACATGGAATATTACTCTGGTGCACCACAAGCTTGGGATATATCCTCAGGCTGTATAAAACAATAAGACAGAAAAAAGTGACCAGGAAAGCTAAGGTGCATCCTTTTGAAAAAACAAAAGAAGAAACAAGATCCACAGCAGAGACAAAGCCTCATTTACAAGTAATTCAGATATTATGTATTCTAAAAATTGTTTCCTGAGCAAGAGATTTTTGAGCTGATCAAATCTGTAAGAAGGAGCTCACTTGCAATGCACCTGGTCTCTCAGTCCTCAGGCATGAGGAGGGAAATATGCCAGTTTTAAAAAAGATTAATGTGCATATCCAAACCTTTGGTAGTCATCTCATCTAACACGCTGACCTCTGAAGGAAGGTGATTAAAAACCCCAACAAATTAGTAATAGGTGTCTTAATGGGACTCTCCTCTGTGTTTTTCAATCCTTGGGGTTTTTGGGTTTAGGTATTTGCAGAAATAATTAAGAAAAACATGCCTATTGCCAAGAGAACAAATGACCTACCAAGAAACCAACATTTTAAAATCCACAAACTGAAAAAATATTGGAAAACTTCACGCTAGGTAAAATAACTTTCTTAGGAAAAAAGGTTGAAGTACATTTTAGAGCTGTTTGCAATCAATAAGAGCTACTATAGCATGACTTAATTTACATTTTTTTCACAAAGTTGTTGACAAGGTTTGAGTTGAGCCAGATCATGTGTTTCCACAGCAAGCATTTGCCTAAAATAAACATATTCAATACCTTGAAAGAATCCAGATTTAACAGGTTATGTATGGAAAAAGTCAGTATTTGAAGACAAGAAAAATGTCTGACAGCAGTTAAAGTAATTTTACTGGTCAGATTACATTCATGTGTGGAAGTGTTAACTTCTAA